TTCTACATGCTCTTATGTTGCTGATGTCAATATTTATTGTGAATTCATATTTGACTATCAAAAAATTTCAGTTTGAAGTTGTACAAAGAAATCTTAGGTGACCTTTCAATTACTTTACCTAACCTACTCCATATCTAAGATCTTTGATAAACATGCATCTTACTTTTGACAAAAGATTGCCTTCGGGCCATTTAATTAAGTGATTGTCTATTTGACATCAACACATATTATATCAAATTATTTTTCAATTCTTCACCAGTCCCGACTGAGAAAACAAACTTTCATTTTTATATACCACGAAGAATATATTAATGGGAATTAAACCATTTGTGCGAGTTCTCTCACATCTTCCTCCCCGATGGTAGACATGAGAGATTCAACTACAGTGGCTCAAATTGTGGAGATTGTGAAGATGGTCATCAAGTTTCATCCGCTATTAACAGTAACTGGTCTTATCTATCGGGTAATACTTCTACAAGATTGGATTGAAAAGGAGGTTAACATTCAATGGAAAGCTCTCAATATGTATTGCCAATCAACAATGAGAGCTTTGCTATATCTTATTACTGAGAAGATGAAGAATCTATCAAAAGCCCTTCAAATGCATCTCAACAATGAAGCAATAAAGGGTCAACCGAAGGCCAAGCTAATCGGTAAAATAGCCCTATTCTCTGCCACATTTCTTATGCTTGATATAGAGTTTAGTTCAAAATATGATAAAAAAGGGACCAAAACGAAGTTATTGTTGTTTATTGGCCTTGACCTACTAATATCTTCAGAGCTTTGGTGCCAACTAGAAATTTTTCATGGAAAGTGCGGCTACATGGCAAATTCCACATCAAACTTCACCTTCTTTATTTTGGCAATTGTTTTTCAAAAATTTTATGACAATTCCTTGAGGAGCCTCAGTGTTGTGTTGTTCATCGCAATTTTCTTTTTATGTCTACTGGTGGTATTGCAACCACGGACAGATCTCGGCTTGTTTAGTTTCATCATTGGGGTCATGGGATCCATTACTTATAACTGCTTCAAGTTCACAACTCCCACGTGGATAGTTGCCTCCATCTGTTTTGTGTTGTTTAGTTTTAAGAGCTGGTTAGATAAGTACTGGTTGGAATTGGAACAAGATCAATCACTGACCTCTGAAAATACCCAAACTAGAAGCACTAGTGTGATTTTGTCAGCAGGCATCCGACTTGCGCAGGGAAGCTTTGTAGGTTCTGTTGTCAAAACTCCCTTGTCCAACTATAAACTCTGGTTAGCTAGGTCAATTAGTTGCGTGGCTTATAGTCTCCGGATCCATCAGATCTATCCCAAAGATACCCCACTGCCCTCTGAAAACACCAAAGGAGTTAGCAGTTCAATTTTAACTATTGTAAATGTTGCACAAGGCATGTTTTGGTTTGCTATAAGCACATCTCCCATGGCAGATTATAAAGACTGGTTATTTATAATAGTCAGTTATATGAT